ATGTGTAACAATCTTTCTATTTAATGTATTTTTACTGGATAATTACCTTCATATAGATTTTTTTTTCTGCAATAGAACCCTTGTCTGTGGACAAGAAGATGCAAACAGGAAGATGAGCAGATAAACCTTTATGATTCTTGTGGCATTAAAAAAAAAAAAAAAAACAAACACAGGACAGTTATTAGTTATTTTAATGAAATCATAATGCAAACTGAATGATTTTTGATTCACATGTTTAGCATCCCAGTTGTGCCTACCTGCATCTCAGGTCTATGGAAGAAGACCTTCCCTGGAGAATACCTCATAGTCCCTTACCATGGATTTCATCTAGGATGTGAGATTTATTTCTTACAGACTGCTTTAAATATTTCTGCTAGGCTTTGCATTTACAGGTAGAAATAGAAAACTCTCAGTACAACTGATATTTCATGTGTAGGTAAATAACATGCTGAAGTAGGATCACAAATGCTGGTCATGTTTCTGTGGTACCAGATACCTTTTTCAACTGATAGAAGTGTTGCCATCATAGTTTTTACAGCTTACTTTAGTGCAGCCTTGGCTGCACTGATCAACTTTAATGAGCCCTAACCCACCTCATGTGATGCCTGAAGCCACAGCCTTTGCCTGTGGGCCCAGGAATCCATTCCAGCTCTGCCCTGCACCTCCACTTCCTTGCTGAGCTAACTGGGGGCTCAGTGAGGACCAGCTGCTTCCTGAGGGGTGAATATAATAAGTGACTGGGAGGGCAAGGATGTAATGAAGCCTCAGATGTTATAGCCAGTGGGATTTCACAGTTCTGTCCAGCAAAGAGTGATGAAATTCTGAACCTTGAATGGTGCTCTGGGCCCTGGAGGGTAATTGCACTCTATTAATTCCAGCTTTTTTCCTTGTCCTTTGAAGTAGTGACCTTATCTGCCATGATCTAAGTCTCATGACTCACTGTTCTAGATCCTTTCTCTTTGCTTTGTTGGTCCTGTTATGTGAGCAAATACAGTGCCACAGGGTAAGCCAAACTTGCTGCATGCCAAGTACTTTGTGGTAATATTAAATGTAGGTCATTGGATAAAAAATTGAAGTAGCAAAAAATGGAAGTTGATGCTATCCTGTTAGGTGTTCAAGGGCTTTTACATCTGATATGTCCGGTTGGTTCCAGTTTCCATATTTAAAACATAAACACAGTAATGCTTCGTCCATAATCAAGCCATCATTATGCAATAGAATCTGAGCTTATGTCCACCACATTCCTCCAAAACTTGTATATATGAAAGCTATAAAATTGTATATACCTTTTTGAATACTTAATGTTTTCAGTCAATGAGGAAATCAATGGCCCTTCTGCTGTTATTGGAATCCTGTCTGTTTTCTGAGGTGGGGAGAAATTAAAAATATAAAGTAGTTATATATAATATTTTTATATCTAATTATGTATAACATGGGTAATTACCTAAGATGTATCCGTGGCAACACTTTATATTTGTCATTTTTCTTGCACTCAATCCCAAAACAAGTTTTATTGGAAATGGAATAGTGAATTAGGTGAGCAGCATAACTTTTATGAGTCTTCTGACTGTTATTTCTATCCTTATTTCCCTTTTTTTCCCCCTCTTGTCAAAAAAGAGAAAATGGTTCCTGGATTCTCTATTCTGGGGTCAAAAAGCTACTCTAGTACCAAAGTGAATGTAAATGGAGATCAAAAATGAGGGTAGTGATTTAGGATTTGAATTAGAATCTCAGGGGTGTATCTTCCTTTACTGACACACTAAGTTGAGATGTTTTAAATGAGTTTTAGTAATACAGCTTTTTCATTTGAAACATAGAATCACAGGAAGGTTTAGATTGGCAGGGACCTTGAAGATCATCTAATTCCTGCTGCCATCCCAGTGCTGCCATGGGCAGGGGTGCCACCCACTAGCTCAGGTCCCCAGGGCCCCATGCTGTCAGCTCTGACAAGCATGACAGTTAGTGACTAACTGTTGTTCTACCATTTGCAAAGGCAAACTTTGTTGGACTGCAAAACTGCAGTAGAATGTAATCCAGGGAATCAGTTTAACTTTGCTCTTGTATATTAAAAAAAAAAAATCTCACTGAGCACTGGTGTTCAGACAAAGTGAAAGAATTGGGCTGTATTAATTTTGTTTTAGGAAAGCTCTCTGCAATGTGTTAAACGAAGGTGCAAACTTATGTATTAAACATTGGCCACAATGCTAAAACATAATTATTTTTTTTTAATGTCTTGGAATTTGAGGGTATGGCTCTTTTAATAGTAACTAGTAGCTACTAGAGATTGCAGAAGTTACGTAGTCTGAGTGTTCAACAAGCAGGAGGTATGAAAAATGGAAGGCTTATAGTCTCTTGCTCATGTATGTTTTTGGTTTTTTTTTCCCAGAAAGGAAATTAGTTAATATATCTGAACAGCAAAGCTACAAACCTGTGTAGAGTTAATCAAAGACGTATAAAAACTGTAGTGACATGACCACCTTCTCTCACAATTTTTTTTTTACCAAAGATAATAATTCAAGCAAATAATAATTCAAGCAGAAGTGTATGCATTTTCTGGTTAAATTTTTGATTCCTGTTTTAAACTGGTTTTGCCATCTACTGCCCCAAGTTCAGACACATTCTGAAATTTACTTGTGTTCCATGTGATTCTCACAAAACCCATATTTGTATAGTACACATTTAGATTACGCTTTGTGACATCCTTCTTTTGTCATCTTATTTATAGGTGATTCCTAGATCAAGACAAGGAAAAAAAAAAAAGGCTAAATGCTCATTGAAACATTCTGGCATTATTTGCTGAAATTCTGTTCTTGATACTAAGTTGGGTTTTTTGAGTAATTAAACTAATGAACTTTAGTCACCTGTGAATTTATTTTCTGTTGTTGTATTTTCTGGTGCATGAGATCTGATTGAAACTTTTCCAGGGTTTGAAGTATTGCCTGAGAAGTCTTTTCTGGACTGAGAATACTTCACCAGTGACAAATTATGTTCTGCTAAAACATCATCTTGTACCAAAGTCTCGAGTTCTTTCCCTCTAATGACCCAAAATTCATAAACAGCCTGCTTGAAGATATCTCAGTAGTTTATTCCTTTCCCAATGTATCTGAGATCTGTGCTTCTCTGCTCTGCCCATATAGGTGTCTCAAGTCTCTATCCACTCCTGCATCCAGGTCCAGTGTTTAACAGAACCATAAATGTTACTGTCCACCTGTGCGATAACACAGGTAACTTCTTGTAAGTACTTGTAAAACCTATTATGATTTTCTTAATTTGCTTTCTATTTTCACTTAGTTTGTTCTATTTTTTTCTGAGGAAACAATGTGTTAGGACTTTGCTCCAGCCCTTTCTCTTCTCTTGATTGTCCTAATAAGCTTATCAATTTAATCAAAATCTTACATTTAATTAAATTCCTAGGCTTTTTCTCAAATTGATGACCAGATAGAGAAGGTATTATAAAATATTAACTGAGTTAAACTTATGTGTGAGTACATGTCTTAGCAGATATCAGACAATTTGCAGTGGCATGTCCCTATGTCCTAGTCACAGAAGAAGTTCCAGTAGCATCTTGGACACTAGTGCCAGTGAATAAAGAAACTGTACTTAGTCATTCCTTTGTGCAAGGATCTGTTTCTCACCTTTTCTTATTAATGTTCTTTCTGGGCTAAACATCATTCCTCTGCTTAGCATCTCTCAGCAACTGTGGTCATTTTCATTCATACATTGAATTTCTCAGTCTTCATTTCCTCTCATTCCTGGAGTGAAGATTCTTTCAGACGCTGGAGATTTAGAGTCTCTCCTTTTCTCCTGGCAATCAAGGGTTTGGTTTCCATCCTAAGGTCTTATCTTCTTATATCTTTACAGTGTTCCTTCTCCCCACTGCCTTGTAGGTATCCTTCTGCCCTGATCTTTTAGGAGTGTTATTCTTAACAGTTCTTTGTCTCTCTTTGCCCTCATCAAGGTTTTTCTGTTTTCCTTCTGCCCTACCATTGACTGACACCAGATAATCTTTCTCCTCAATTCTGACAGTCCTCAGGAAGCTCTTTTTTTAAACCTACCACTAGCAAAGTGGTGGGTTTAAAAAAACCAACCATCTTCTCACCCAAGAAGGATGGCAAGAACTGCCAGGAGATCAGACTGGAAAGCTGCCTGCCTTTCCAGGTAAGGGCAGCAGGGCAGAAGCAGCCTCATGACCCCTCTGGCTGCAGGGCCTGAGGTGGAGTCCTCGGCATTCCCATGGGGTCTCTTGCACAGGCTGCAGTGACACATCAGAGGGGAGGTGGGCAGCTCTTGGCTTCCCTCATCTGTTCTTTTTCCCTTTTCCTCTTTTCTACCTCTCTTACTTCACCCTACTTGGCCTTCTCCTACTTTTTTTCTTCTAGACTTCTTTAAACGTGTTCACCAAGTTTTCTTCTTGCATTACACTTCACTGAAGCATTCTCTTTAAAAAATCCCATTAATAGCTTGCCTTCTTTTTGTGTGTGTGTCTTTTTCTGCCTTTTCTGTCCCTTTACTTATTTTACATTTCCAAGCCTGATCTCTTTGAAACAGTGTGCACATTAAAATAAATAAATAAATAAAGACCTGTAATACTGTCAGTTTTCTTCAGGCACCTTTCCAGTGCATTTAATATAACTGAAGGGCATGGAGTCTCCTTGGATAAGGCAGGCAGACCGGATCCTGGACACCGCTCCTGGGCTCAGCTGTGCTCGTGGGCCCTCTTTGGCTCCCATTCTGCTTTCAACACAGCAGCAAAAGCTGAGCAAAGGTTTTCTTCATCACCTATGGGCCCATCCTGGTTCAGAGAGGATTGCCAAAATAACAGAGCATATGAAAGGTGCCAACACTCTCTTCTCAGATGACCTCTGCAGTCCTTTAACACTTAAGAAGGCAGCATGATCTGATCTCAGGCAATCTCTACTACAACACATCCCCGGCAATGTCTGTATTACTGCCTCTAGGCTGGCTCAGCGTCTCCAGCGGGGAATTTGTAGCACCCAGCCGCTGGCGTCTTCTCCTGGCGGAAGCTCAACCATTTGAAGAGAAGGGGAGGGAAAAAAAATCCCAATCAGGACGCTTGCACATGCTGTTCTCTGCTTGCTCGCCTGGGTGTTCTGCTGAAGGACTGGGACATCTGCAGAGGAGGGGAAGCGGCGGCGGCTGGAGCGTGCCCTGGTCAGGGCTGGAGTTCCTCCAGCGCCGGGGGCTGTGAGTGCGCTCAGCCGGGGGGGCGAGCAGCGGGGCCGGGATCGCGCTACCCGGAGCGTACGCAGACAGACGTGATTAAAATTCAAGCCTAATGGCCTCTGGCATAAACAACATTCATCAGCCCGGGACTTGCAATGGATCTAAAGCCGCTCGCAGCAGCTCGGCAGAGGAATGCAATCGGGAAATGCACGTGAAAATGTGCAAGAAGATTGCCCAGCTCACTAAGGTAGGTCTCGCTGTTGCAGTCTTTCAAGGGAGGTGAGGCTGTCCTGGCCGGGGGTGTCAGGGAATTGTCTCCTCTGGTGCTCCTAACTAAGAGGAGGGAAGGGAAGCGGGTCCTCTCTTCTTAGGCTGTTGCCGAGAACATCGCTGTGCACAAACTTCCCTGCACACAGTTCCCCCGCGGGGGCTGCAGCCCGTCCTAGGGGGTGCCTTTGTGGCAGCCGGTGGACGCCTGCACTGAACTGCTCTGATTACCGGGCGACCATAACGGGAGGAGCTCCAGGTCCGCGAAGACGCGGGGTTTGTCTGGGAGCTGTTCAGAGGGATTGATAGTATCCGCTTTGCTTCTAGAATTACGAAGACTGCAAGTAATTTGAGTTTTATAGGTTCTCAAGTAATATTGTTACAAAGCTGTAGCCAGCGCGTGGTACTACAGTACAATAATACTCTGACTCGCAGCTAATTGTTCCTGATGTGCGTAAGGGCTACTTTAAATGACGTCTGTAAAAGGAGTTGAGAAGAGACAGGACTAAATTACGTGGTATATTGTACTTAAAACTTTTAGTCAATAGTGAACTATTTGATATTTTCCACACCGTGTTAAGAAATGAGTAGATGTAGATGTAAATGTGTAGGAAATGGCAGTTATCTATTAACCTATTCTTATGCTGCATCTTTGTCAGTGAGGAAAACATATTTACTACCCTTGTTTATGCAGTTTTTACATGGTCTGTAACCTCACTGCAATTGATATAGACTTACTGGCAATGAAAAAACATTGACTGAAAATACAGGTCAAAGAATAAGAAGTCATTTAGATGTTCAAGTGAGAATGGCTTACTAGTTACAGTGCTATCATTCTTATAATAACTGTATGTGATAGTGTACATCATGTGCATCAATACATAAACAAGAGCTACCTCTAATTACATATACTTCCTATATTATACCTTCTGTACTATACCAGTACTTACTTTACAGGTTCTTTGTATGCTTTAATAGAATTTGTATGTTTTAATAGAATTTGTACACAATAAAATCCTTACTTTTGCCCATACATTGTATAATTTTATTGCAGTAATTTTTTTCATATGTCTTTTGCTAAATTTCTATCTGTTAAAGTGTGTGTGGGTTGATTTCTTTAGTTTTGGTAGAATTTCCCCTCTAGATGCTTTTCAGTTATCTGAAATAAAGATGATTTATACCTGAAGCTCAAAAAATACTTCTGAAAAGCAAATAATTCTGTTTTGGAATGTGGCTTTTAAGAAGTAATTTTCTCTGCAATACTTACAGAGAATTCATGGCACAACTGGAATTTAAATCACATGGTTTCCCTTCTGAATTCTGTGGAGACTAATGCAGTGCCAACAGCAAGCACGTAAGAAGCAAAATCTGACACCAGATCAACTGAAAATTGGCTATATGGGAAATTTGTTATAGTAATTTTTGGCCTAGGAATTTTGAGAGCTCCCTTTTAAAGCTCTTGTTTTCTTGGTTATATTACAGTCTGAATGATTATAATAAAATCCCTTCTAAATATAAATGGCCCATAGTGCTTTCCTTTTTGTTTCTAACTCAGTATGCAGTAGTGCTGTGTTGTTGCACAGCTGCAACTTCCTGTCTCAGTGACTGTAGCAATTTTCATTGATGAGGAGATAATGATCTCATTATTCATCCACTCAGTTTTGTGCCAGGTGAGATGAGTGCAAAATATGTAAATTAGGTATAAGATATAGATCTTGACTTCCATTCTCTTTGTTACATAGTCACTAGGGGCCTCCTCCTACTCTCAAAGGCAAAGAATAAGTGTGTAAAGGTATCAACAGGAACCAAACTGGGTGAGATGATAAGTTCCTGTCCTTGCATGTAGTGCTGATGATGTCTTAAGGTGTTAGGGGAATACAGGGGTCCAGGGAATCCCAACAGCTAATTTGGACAGAGACTCTGAGAGCTGCTCCCATTCTACTATCCTGCTATTTCTGGTTTTGCAGAGGTAGAATATAGGAAGTTTTCATACCTTCAGTCATGCATTTTTTCTCTTCCCCACATTTTTGGCTGTAGCTGCAAAAAAAGTACAAACCTTTAGCAATATTTTGTTTGCTTTGAGCCAGAGACTACTAGTTTTTTGTAGCTCACTTCTCTTGAAATGGCTATATTTGTGTTGTATTTGATTGTAGTATAATGCATGACTTTGTAGTAGTTATTAAGTAATACCAATAATGATGTTCAAACTTCTCCATCAGACACTGGACCCATGGCATGCTGTTTCATGCTTCCCAGTTCTTTGTACTTCTGTATCTGTTTAGCAATGACATGGAGTTTAAGATGCATGGTGACTTTTATAAGACTTGGGGTGTCATTCCCTGCTGCCTCAAGTTGCAGATTTGTAACATCTACTGGCTGTTAAGGGATTTTCATGTGCTTATGGTATCTCAGCATAGTCCTTTTCACTTGAAATAGGATGAGAAATTCAAATGAGCTCTCAAAGAAGAGTGTTGAGGATCAGCTTTCATTAACAGAGGCAGTTTGGACAGGGCTGACAGGAACTAGATACACTACAGATATCTGTGCTATTCAGGCTTCTTTTCAAACCTCTGCCAGTGAGGCTCAAACCAAACCTGCTGTTCCGGACTGCAGTTCTGAAACCAAGCCTAATATGAGTACCTAGAAAGGTGACGGTACCTGGTGATCAGAGAGCTACCTAAGCCACAAACTAGTTCTGTTTCCTTCTTAGAAACAAATTCCTGGATACCAATGGAGGGGTATATTTTAATGAGAGAAAACAGTTATTCTCAAATACTTTTTTCCCCTCGGGGTTCATCTGACTCTATATTGCAAATCTGGGAACCTTGTCACACATTTTAAATTGCAGTATTACTGGTCAAGCAGATTGTTACTAAAAAAAAAAAAAAAAAGTCAAAAAGTCAAGTAGTCTGGCAAAAATTTTGTGTATATATGTTGGATACTGTGAGTTGTAACAGAGGAAAAGAGTGCTGATGCAAGGAAAAGTTAATTGCTGGTAAAATGCACTTGCAAATCCTTTTTTCCCTTTAGGGGAAAAAAATGTCAAAGGGAAGCAAGTGTGTTCCTCTTCAGAAGCAGCAACATAGGCAGATGTTCCTTAATGACTCTGTGTGGAGCAGTTCAAAATGTTACATGTTCTGACTGCCTATCACCAGCAGTCACTAGGAGGTTTAGCCCCTCAGCTCGGTCAGCAAGGTAGAAAATATGACCATTATTTAATAAGCTTCAGTGGAAAATCAGCCAGAAAAGCAAAACCCTCTTTCCTGCATTGTTTAAGGGAGGGATAGCTGACTTCTGCTCTATTATGCTCCTATTTAGTTCTGTTAGCTTCATTCTTGTGGGTGGAGATTTACCTAAAAATTCAGCAAGTGACCTGGCACGTGTGTGAGGCCATAAACTGTGTACACCACTGCAGTGTCTTGTAGCAGGGCTATATATTAGATCTTTTAACCTTTCCCCCTTTATGTGTCATAAAGCTGTCGAACATTTCTTGGTTTTAGACATGAAATATGATCAAACTTTAATGGTTTATTCTGGAAGCACCTAACAGCTGGGTAACTCTAACAGAGCACTTCTGTGGTCTACTCATATTCCTGTTGAAAAATGTGGCCTTTTCCACATAGTTTATTGACCTTGTTTGCTGTGATGTATTAACAGTACTCACTAACCAGTGCTTACAGTGGTTCAGCTGCTGTGCAGTTAGTTATTATGCTACCAGAGCTCTCCTGTGTGCTTGAGGCTTTTTGATCTCAGCTCTCTAGAGACGTATTCAATATTCTACAAAAATGAAGCAAAATAGAATAGAATAAAAACTAGGATCATGCTTTTGGAGCAACAGTATTTTTCCTTTCAGCAAGGAATATAAAAAATTATTTCCATGTCGGCAAATAGAGAGAATCTATAAAACTGCTTAAATCATGTGCTAACAAGACCAACAAAATCAGCCATCCATAGCCCCAACTACTTTCTGATGTATTTGTTTTCATTATTTTTGTGTACAATTTGCTATCAAAGCTAGCATTATTTTTGCCTATGAGCTGACAAGAATGTGCAGTAACTTGTCATTACTATGTTTTTCCTTACGGAAAGTTCCTCCCTAAAAAGGATCTCCTGTGTTATTACATGTATGTGCAATGTCATAAAATTGCGTTGATCAGCTAGTCAAAAGCAGTATTAAAGCCATACTTCTATTAGGAAAATGCCTAGTATCTTCTTTGGACAGCTAGAAATTATCATTTAAATTAACTAATGGGAGAAGAATGACATCTATGTATGGAACTACTTCCTTACCATACAAATTTGTCACTAATTATATCAAGTTTGCAGAAAATCGATGGTCTTACTAACTGGCAACTCAAGACTACTTTGTAATGGAGAGTACATAATGAATTCAAGTCTCTTTATCAATGAATACTAGTTAATGTTTATATACAACATGTTTTACATATTATTAATATGCAAATTACAGGCAATAGGCAATAAAATATGTAATGAGCCATTAATTGCACAAAAGAAAATTGCAAGCTTATAGCTTTTCCATATTCTGTCTTTTTTTAATGGTAATATTTAAAAGTCCCTTTTTCAGTCACACTATAATAGTATCTCTCTCCTAATATTTCCTTTAACCAGTATGTACATGCCAATATTTTACAATTGTGAAAATTATACCCAAATTAGAAGTCATTGCCAAGTCAGTTGAAGATATTCTCTTGTAAATATTTTGAGCTATGTATTTTAGTCTTTTGAACACTCCAGCATTGAATATTGTATATAAAATACCTATTTTCCATAAAGTATCATGTTCTTCCCGCCTCACTCCCTCAGCTATCACATCCTCATTAGTTAAAATATTTTCTGTGTTTTATTAAAACAGCTGTAACATTGAGGTAGAACTCTCTCTGTTGCCACCTCTACAGTCATATTTTAAACACCTTAAGTGTCTCACTGTTCTTCCTGCCTGTACACGAACAGACTGTCTTT